GCAACACAAGATTATGGAGTTGGGTTGGGAAATTTTACTAATGAAGCTCTAATCCGAAAGTTTAGTTCGTCGTTAAGAAAAATATGTTGATAAAGTGTTGCTCGTAGCACTAACCTAAAACATATCGAGCAAACAGCTAAACATTCTATTATAAAGTGTGTAATTTTCTCTTTTAACTTCCTGATGTGTAATTCTAATATTTAACTATCTACCAGTCTATCTATATAAAATAAAGTTCAAAACGTGTTTCTTAAGTTACAACTTTCTAGAGACAAAACAAATGTTATATCGGATCCCTGGATAAATCTGTTCTTTGGCTAAAAATAATAAAACGGAGCTGGATAAGCTAGAGATTTGAAATTACTAAATTTCAAACTATTCTTAACTTTGTTCTTAATTTTAATATTCAATAACAAATTGAATAAGTTACAACTAAATAAATTCGCTTTGGATCATTTGATTTATACTTTCTTATCTTGAAATGAACGTTATATATGTATGTATGTGTGTGTGTGTATTAGAACTTTATCAACGATAAAGAAGCCACTGTGCCTATGATGGTTTCTGCAGCCGGTAACTCGACCACAGATGTGTCTGTTTTGCATGGAAGTTTCTTTTATGAAATATTTTACGTTAACAGGATTCAAGCGAGATAACAATACAATTCAGAAACCGAACTGTTCCACACCCAAAAATTACTGCATCATATTCGGATTTCAGATCGTTTATGAAGTAACACATTTCGTATAGAGTTAGCACAGTCTACTGAGTAGCTGTGAATGAGATTGGACACAAAAAAAACATAAGTTTAGAATATTTATAAATTGTCAGGGGTCAACTTCTCATAAACAACACGAGTAAAAAATAAAATAGAGAGGGGGAGGAGGTGGCGACGCTCTTTCCAGCTGCCCTTTAAACTTTATTACCTGAAATATGCCGCCTACTCTACTGTCTTGTAAAGGTTAACTTGAACTTTACATGTGAGCCCAAAGGTGTTGAATCAATACGCACGTTTTCTCATTCATATCTTATTTATATCATACAATAAGAAGTTAACGATTCATCATTCAAGTATATTCTACTCTCGTGTATGAGTTATGTATGATAAAAGACAGCAAGGAGGCGTTAAACATATGACCTATTCACAGTGTCTAGTGTGTAAGCGCAAAGGATCGATACTTCCTTCCATATACTGCTTGTGTTGGAGTTTATCAAATATATCTAACTTTTATTAGACATGGTTTTTAAGCTATGTTCAACAATTTTGGGAAGAACGTATGAATCGTACGACTATTAGTATTTATGATGTTATAAAAGTTTCAATAATTCCAAATTAATTGAGGTATGTAATTTCATCATTATATTCGGAAAGATTATTATATACAAAAAATCCAACATATTCCGTATCTTTAAACAATTAAAGAGAAATTATTACGTAATTTCATTAATAGATTACATTACACGGATTACATTAGAAAAAATGTGAACCGAACAAAATGGTGAATTAGAATTATTTTTAAAAACTGGATTCAAGAATGTCGATGGTTTATTATAGATCAAAATATTGTGAAATTTCCTCTTTTTGAATAATTTATTAATCTTTTCCTTTCCTGTGTATATTTACATTTATATGTTTAACAATTATTGTATGATATACTGTATTAAGTAAATGATAGTTGATGATGTGATTTTTAACAATTACTGTATGATATACTGTATTAAGCAAATCATAGTTGATGATGATGTGATTTTTAATAATTACTGTATGATGTACTGTATTAAGTAAATGATAGTTGATGATGTGATTGAAACTTGCAAAACAACAGCTTGAATGTTTTAATAAAAGTATTCAAAATTAATTTAACATTTTACAACTATTACTTCTGAGGTTGTTGATTATAGTTAAAGGAAATCGTTATATTAAAATATCCATTTTCACTACGTAATAGTATGTAATAATTATCTATAGACGTTATGGATAAGAGTGATAAATTGATCGTGTAAATAATGGATAAATACGTTCTTGTTTCCTCATTAAAACTGGTTGTTTGGTGTCAAACTTGTAAAAACTGGTTTGGTTCTTTTAATAAAAAGTAACAAAAAAGTATCTACCTATCTATATATTTACTCTCCTATTCAACCATTTATTACCTATTTAGTCCTCCATAAGTACGATAAGTGAAACGTGAGAGCTTCTTATTAGAAATGGATGGTTCGTGCGCGTAGCGTGAGGAATGCGGTGGGTGCGATTGTACCCCTAAATTGCACCCATGTATAAATAAAACATGTTTGAAATTTGTAAAAAAAAAAAGAAGTTTTGGTTAATCGTATTTAATTAAAAATGATTTGAATATAAGAACTAACTGTTTGTCATTTTTATTAGTTTGTGATGATGAACGAAACTTTCCTGAAATATCTTTAATTAAATTTATTATCTTATTGTGACACATTTGACTTCGTTACCTGTTAAACTGAAGGGGAAGAAAAATAATCTCGAATGTAACGCGGAGGAAAGGTTCAAAGAGCACAAGGCTTGGCCGTAGTCTTCACTTTGTAAAATACCTTGGATAAATTAGAAATAAGTAAGAAAAGTGTTCAATGCACAGAGAAGGAAGTTAAATTGTGTCTGTAAGTAATGTTTCATTTGAAACAAACTCTCTTGTTTATTTTGTCTAAATTTTTAGTGAGTTACTTTATTACAATGTATTCAAGAATTTCCTATTCTATAAAACTAAAGTATTATTTGGACGATGGAAATGTTTAATGTATGTAGTTTATGCTAACATATCATAACGTGGCTTTGAGAGACGAGCAGCAACCCGCCCACCTCCTCAAAAATATTGTTAGCTCAAAATCCTAACGCATACTATTCCGTCTTGATGATGACAGAAGTGTTAATACCTTACAAACTATAAGATCTTTGAAAACGATGTTTTTATCTTACCTATAACAAAGTTGCTTGATGTTATTATTCTAGCCTCGTAAAAACGTCGTATTTTTGTTTTTTAACGTTTTACGACAGAAAAAAAAAGTTTAGGAAAACCAAGTGAGCGGATCATTCGTCACATTTTTCCAAATACCTCAATTTTAACAGTTGAATTATTAATTTCGAGATTCAGCTCTTCGGTAATTTCAGGGGGTTCCTCTCCATTTCAGTAAGGTGCCATGTTTCTAAGACGTCCTGCATTATTAGAAACCTTATGCTGTATATATTATAAAGTAATTACTTTAAAAATCAAAGATTCGTGGTTAAGAGGTGCTAAATAAAATAAATTAACACTTTTCAGGCATTCTTTTATATTACCATTAAATTACAGTAGGAAATTATTTTCCTTTTATATCACAAATCACTAGTTAGATGTGTTGATTTTTCAGAACTCTTCGATTTTATTTTAAGTTTACTTTGCTTTTCATAAGTATAATTTATCCTAATGTGCATAATTCTTAATTTTGTTAATATTAATAAAGTTTGATCAAAGTGATAAATACTTAAAGAATGACCTGTTTTACTATTCTGACCAATATGTTTTTCGTAAAGATGCAAGTGTAGAGTATTATAGTTTCTAATTGGAAAACATTCAAATTATTTCATTCTTATGATTTGTTGATATGAAATACAGAAATGTATTTGTTAATTTAAAGTTATATATCACCTACACATCCAATAAAAATATCAATAAAACTATAAAGGTACTTAAGATATAAGAGCGTATAATACGTAAGCTAAATGACGTTGAACTAAAGTCAGGAAAAGTCTTTTGTAAGAAGCGATGTTAACAGGCATGAAAGGTGAAAAAGGTGAAAGTTTGAGTTCACGAGTTCGTTTAAGGGCAAAGGTGCACATTTGAGCTCTGCCTATCACAGCAGGGATCGAGCTCCAAATTTTATTGTTATCATCCTTCAAGTTTACCACTGAGCCACTGGAAAGGAGCAAAATGTCTGAGAAATACATCATTCATTACACAAATCAAATTGAGCATGGAAACTAGAAACCACCACTTTTAAATACATGACGTTGTTTAATGGCTCCAGCTGTATTAAGTTTGTTTGTTTATAGTTTATTTTAATTATGCACAAAGCTACACAAGGGCTATCTATGCTCTGCCCACCACGGGTATCGAAACCCGGTTTCTAGCGTTGTAAGTCCGCAGACATACCGCTGTGCCACTGGGGGGTCGCTCTATTAAGAGTTTATCGTTTGTGAATAATACAAATATCTGTTTGTCAAATATCAGTAGATATTTTGTAAAATGGTTCAACATTTCAACGCTGTTTTGTGCGTTATTAAAGACGAGTTCTGTACTGCTATGTCTATTTGACAAAAATAGTGGTTGTGAAGAGATAAGTGAGTTGTAATTATCATAGACACGACTTAGAGCCTGTAAAAATATAGAATTATGAAATTACCAGGATATAAAACTCTATTTTAGGTTAATCATACTTCTTCAGATTTGTGTCATATATTTTTCTTATCCATTAACTTTACTAAACATACTTATTTCACAAACGCTAAAAACATCAATTTGCAAATAATTAAACAGACGTTCCTTTCTGACGAATAGTTACATCGAAATGCATTTGATAACGTTGCTCACGGATGTCCGTGATTAAACTATTAGTTGATGATCTTTTATTGTCAAAGACCTTGAAGTTTTATACGACCACAATTGCCTAAACAGACATTTGTATATTTATCACCTTGTATCAGAAGGAATTTATATACCGCAAAATTCTTTTCACTGTAACTAACAAGCTCGGGTTGAATAGAACCCGTTTCTTGATAGATTGATGGCATTCACTCGTTAGATAACTGCCTGGCCTGCCGTCTATCGGCAAACCACTGAACCTTCCCCAATCAGGCCGGTTACCATAAAACGATGCATGAGTTGAATCCAAGCAACAATTCTTGCCGGATGTTGACACTTCAGACGGCTACAAACCACCGCTAAGGGAATTAATCTATGCTTTCTATTGAAACCATTTGAGGAAACTTGGGATAATGTTCTTTAGTAGAAATTCAGAGGCAAAAGCACAATTAATTTATGAACTAATATACTTCCTTTGAGTAACACGACTTCCGGATGGCTCTATCTCCTGTAACAAGTAACGGTGTGACTGGACGGAATGACCATAACAATCGACCAAGAAAATTGAGTTTGCAAGTGGTATTTCCTCGGCCTTCACTTTCAGGTTATGCTGCTGCAATCGAGAATGCACGAGAGGCTCAGATGGCAGGTGTACGACGCCGCAAGCTAAGCAGGGTGACTCACAAACTATCTACAACAATCGGTTGGCGCGCGGTAGTCTCACAGGATGAAGTTATAAGTCAGGCCCAGAGTCTTTGTAGCCGCTACCTCCGCTTGAAATTGCGTTCGTGCATTGCAGTGCACAAGAAACTTGGACTCCAACGCTTGAGAAGCCTCAGTAAGATCTCCAACGACCCTATTCTAACAGAGGTGGGAGAGCAACTGCTCCACATGGCAGGACTTCTCGAGCGACAGAACCCTCGCCTTTTTCACAGTGTTGTGGACGGCGTAGGAATACAGTCAATAACCTCAGAATCAGCAATGCTAAATCTATTCCGGGCTGTAGCTGATGAAGTCTTGCGACAAGACATTTCTTGGGGACGAATCATTGCTCTATATTGCGTTGCTGGAGGACTAGCTCTTGACTGTGTCCGGCTTGGACATCCTGAATATGTGTTGAATCTGGTGCAAGGTATGGGTTCTGTAGTAGAAGGTGACGTAGCGACCTGGATTGTTCAGCAGGGTGGTTGGGTAAGTAGTTACTTTCAGAATACACTGGTGGCTTATCATGTATATTATAATTAAAGACATAATCTAAACACTGTAAAGGCTGAAGTATACCATCACGTACAAGAAAAGGAAGGTTTTTTCTTTTAATTTTTAGGCCCATTGCTATCCATAAGCTAAGTTAATGGTATCACTGATAACGCTCCTCTATGCGCAATGGATGTCCATCAAACCTTGGTCTTTTATCTATAAAATAATCCCATTTTCAGATGTTATCGAAGGCAATCTAAATTTCAAAATTTAGTAAAACTATCATTACGGACGAAAATAATTTGCCACTGAATGCAGGAGCATCGCTTGTTACAGCCCACCGTGGTCACGTGATGCTACATTCCAGAGGTATAAAAGTCACGGCAAATAACTGAAATACAATTTTTTCATTTCTTAACAATCAGTACTGTCTTGTGATTGTTTTTGTTTTTTGTTCACCCGAACATTTTGAAATTTTAAATTTAGTCGCACAATAGACTATCGACACTGTTGTAGTAATCGTAATCGAACCCAGAATTCTAGTGTTTTAGAAGAATATTTTCGCTAAAATTTGAAAATAAGCAATTTGAAGTAGATCTACGCACAACAAAACTAATGGAAATTCTTCACGTTTAAGAAATATCAGACACATAAGAAAAGTATTGCTGTTAAAGCCACAAACATTGATAACATGCTTATTCAGTGGAAGACTATGAGTTATAGATGCAAATAAACGTTTGTACTTACCTAATGAATCACATTCATGAATGTAATTTGTTTGTCTGCTTCGGATATTCGCGCATGGCTGTGCAAAGAATGTCGGTGCCAAGTGTCCCTAATTTTCAACTATTAGATTGAATGTTGTTGTTTTTTCTTTACTGTTTGAAAAGCTACACAATGAACTATCTGTGCTATGCACACCACGGGTATCAAACCCGGTTTTTAGCGTTATAAGCTTTTAGACTTATCGCTGTGCCTCTGGAGGCAAGTTACATGGAAGACAGCTAGTAAACAGCATCCACCGTCAACTCTTGGGCTGCTCTATCAAATCGTGAGATTTTACCGGCGTTATTTTAATGCAGACATAATCCCAAGGTGCTGAGCGCGACTCAACTACAAATGGACACAATCCATGAATCCAATATTCGATTAGACCATTGGCAGTGAGTAGTGCTGGATAGCCGTCTTCCCTCTAGGGATGGTTAGTTCTTGAGCATCTTTACACGAAGTTCAACAAAAAGCAAGCCTTTTTCTTTTCTTTTTTGTCTTTTCAAGCTGAACTCTTTTTTTTAAATATTATATGCACCAATCAATCTCCTTAAAAGTTGTTGTGGTTAACCTTTCGTATTTTTAGAATTAAAATTGTGTAGAATATTTCTCATTTTATTTTCGCTATTCTATATGTTTTCAAACATTTGGTTTATTAGGGTTATTTATGTGCAGTTCTATTATAAGTGAGACCCTGTCCATTATACATGTTTTGTACCTTTTGAAATTGAAATTTTCGGATTTTCATTTTTAACTACTGTGAACGCTATGCTTTTTCTCTCATCACCTTACTATACCTTTCTGATTTCAATACACTAAATCAGTGTTTTCCCGATTTTATATAGTGGTGCTCCTTAACTCAGCAAAATTTCATTACGCCCCCTTCATTGGTTTGGTTTGTTATGAATTTCGCCCAAAGCTACACGAGAGCTATCTCCGCTAGCCGTCCCTAATTTAGCAGTGTAAGACTAGAGAGAAGGCAGCTAGTCATCACCACACACCGCCAACCCTTGGGCTAATCTTTTTACCAACGGATAGTGGGATTGACCGACACATTATAACGCCCCCACGGCTGAAAGGGCGAGCATGTTTGGTGTGACGAGATTGCGAGTCGAGCGCCCTAACCACCTGGCCTGCCCCCCTTTTCGTAAGTGATGACAGCAAAATCAGCATTTGATTACTTGTTTTTAATATTTTTGTTAAATGAGAAATAAATATGAGAGCAAAAATAAAAACAAAAGCTTTGAGAGCAAAATGATAGTTTTTTTTAGGTTATCGTCGTTTCCAGCTCTTCTGTTTCTTCCGTCGTTATTTTTGGGCTCTCCAGCCAAAAGGCTGCCCCCCCCCCACTCAGCCACCAGTACGCGCGCCCCAAAGACTGGAAAACACTGCATTGAATAACGTTAATGACATCTTACAATATTAATATTTCCACTTAATAGCTAAATATCTTATTTTTCAATTACTACCTATTTTATATTTCTTCATTAGCAGTTACGTTATTATTAAAATTTCTGATCAAAAGTAAACTGACTAAAGTAATTTAAAAATAAAATATATTGACTAAAATACTTAGATGTGATTCATTACACCAGAAAATTAATGCTGTTTGAATACAAGGAGGGAAACAACCCCTCTGTAGCCACAAATAAAATCAAAAAAGTTTATGGAAATGTTTTGAACATTCGTAAGTGTCAACGATGGTTCAG